ACACGGTGAGCATATTGAATGCTCGGGTTTAATAGTGGTTCAGAATATTCAATCACATGAGCACACCGGTGCGCAAAATTATACAGAAAATCGGTTGTATTTAGAATTGGATATGCAAACTATGTAAGTAGAGCGCATTATAACGACATGCACACACAGATGATCTCTAAACGTCGATGCGTTTATTGTCGCTGGTGGTGACGTAATAGTAAGCACGGTTCACCGCGAGTCTAAAAGTATACCAGAACCTGCCAGTCTGTTTCTCCATCCGTTATGGTATTTATGCTATCGGTGTGATGTCACCAATCACTCGTACAACGAATACATTAAGCGACCTTTGCGTTCCAAACTTTAGAAAAGTGTAACAGCAATGGCAGAAAAATAAAAATAAAAAATTTTGTCGTTATACAACCTAACCTAACCTAACGAATACATTAAGCGATCTTATGTATTTTGAACTTTAGAAAAATTCAACAACAATGACAGAAACATAAAAATAAACAATTTTGTTGTTATATAATCACCTTTCACCAAAATTTAAAATTCTCTCGCTAGTATATCATTTCTTAACAAACAGGTATCTGACGAATATAATTAAACGCTTTTTTTTATTTTCAAAACTGTTACACAGGCTGTCCAACCTAAAACAGGCCACGTAATTATTTTCTTTAGTTGCGACGACATCAAAAATATATCATACGTGTAATACTTTCAATAATGCAAAGAACATTTTTACTCAAAGGTAACTTTTTCCGACTTTTTATCAATGAAGATGATCATGTGGTCTGTTTTAGATGAAACAATGTAGTAACAGAGATTTTAATTAATTGTAGTACGTTACACAATGGAAATTTGTACAATACTTATTTACCAGGGGCGGTTCTAGTACGTGTGCAGTGCGTGCGTGCACGCAGGCGGCCATATTCCTGGGGCAGCTGATACTGTACTTTAAAGGATATAATTAAAATAAACATGAAATATTTTTGTGAATTTTTCTACCCCATAATTATTAAATATTTAAAAAAATTATTATAATATTATAATGGGTTGGGTTAGTTTATGAAATTGCTCGCGATCTTCATTGATGGGGAGGGGCAAATATTTCTAGCACACAGGCGACTAAATAGCAGCCCAGAACCGGCCCTGCTATTTTATTATTTCCATATTTATGTGCACTAAGTACCCCTTTTTTTACATACAAGCAGCAAAGATTGCACGTTATACGTTAAATCCAGTAATACTGTCGGTAAATATTTAATTTCTAGGGACTTTAATTAACTAGAAATAATAAGAAATAACTGTAAATTTACTTTCGCCCAGACAAAAGTTTATTCTCTGTTATATTTGCTCCTCTACACAATGAAGCTAGTATAAAATACGAAACACATTAATAATAATAATGAATGGTACTACTTAAAATTCTGGTTTATACACCTGAAAAATAATCTTCTGCAATTTTTTATTCCAAGAAACAAAACACTTCCTGTTACATTTATAAGCACTTACGGTATCAGATTGCGTTTCAGAAAAGTAACGTAACGTACTCTCGACTTAATTTTACGTGAATGCATCGAGTGGGGGTCTTTCACCAGGTGTAAAATCTTTGTTGACATTGATGTATATACCAGGTGCAACCCGAATCGACGTTCACGCAGCAAGATTAATTTCATGAGCAGTTCATGCAGAACCATAAACCGCGTGAAGTTAATTCCTAATAAGTTCTCCGTAAGACGTTCACAAACCTTTCGTATACAGTTTATTGCAACAATGAATGTTCACGTATGATATTAGTATGTGTTGGCATCTTTCGTTGAATGTCTGTCTGCAAAGTACACTGAATTTATAAGCATATATGTATATATGTACTTGTGACATTTATTTTTACTACGTAACAAATGTCCGGTGATTATGAAGAATACAGTTGTACGTATGTTTCTAGTGTTTTTTCGTAATCGTTGAGATGCATGCAAGAATACGCAATACTGTATAACTTTCGGTATTACTGCAGTTTTCGAAGAAACTGCTCGTCGAACAGATCAATGTTGATGATCTTAGATGAAAGAACAATGAAAAAGTCATATTACGTACGTAATATCACATATTTGAAGAAATAAATGTAAATATTTAGGATTAAATGTAATTAAGTGTTACCTAAATATGACACCAAGAAATAGAAAATTAGAATAATGCAATAACAATATTAAATTACAAAAGAATGATTAAAATAAAGAAATTCAATAATAAGCAGTTTTATAAACACTGTACTGCACTAATTTTACTACTTCTTAAAATAATATCCATTACAGTTAGGTATATATACAGGGTGCCCCATAAGTCATTTTACCATTTAAAAATTGAACGAACTTTTGGCTTTTCAATTATTTGCATTTATTTTTTTATATGATAAAGTATAGAAAATAGAAATATTTTAGATTAAGTGTGGAAACTTATGTCATGTAAATGACCCTTAATTTCCGTTTCGCAAGTACGGTCTTCTTCAGCAGCATTTTCCATA